CCAGATTTCTTGGCACAACTTGGTGAGCACATCCAGGGCAGCATCTGTTAACTGAAATATGTCAACTGGTATACCATCTATTCCGGGGGCCTTATTTTTTGCCGTTTCCTTCAAAGCAGCCTGAACTTCTGGTGCCATAGCCTCTTCTAAATCCTGCTTGAACTTTTGGCAGTTCCCTTTGTACTGTTCCAGCCATTTTTGAATGATCTTCAGCATTATTTTGCTTGCATGTGATATTAATATTGTCTGATAGTTTCCACATTCATTTGGGTAACTTTCCTTTGGAATAGGAACAAATATGGCCCTCTTCCAATCTGTTGGCCAGAGAGCTGTCTCCATATTTCCTGGCACTGACTGGTGAGTGCATCTAAGGGTGCACCTGTTAATTGAAACAAGCCAACTGTTATTCCATCAATACCTGGGGCTTTATTTTTTGCCAGTGCCTTCAATGTAGCTTCTACTTCCTCTTTCATAACCACTGGCTCCTTTTCATATGGTACTTCCTGAAATTTTTCAGTGTCAATCAATTCTTCTGGTACAGGGATGCTGTGTATTCCCTCCATCTTCTTTTGATGCTTTCTGGGTCACTGGACGGTAAATGAGGGAAAAAATTCTAAGGTCACGTTTTGGTTCAGTGGAAGAAAAAAAGGCCACTATTTATTAGTGAAGTCTGGTGTCATGGTGTTAGCCTAAAAGTTAGCTTTTTTAATGCCATGAGTTAGCCCCCTCTGGTGTCCAGCTACCTTAAATGCAGACACATGGTCTTTCAAATCAGCATGGTCTTAAAAAATAGACATCAGCTGTGCAACTCGGATAAGGGAAAGAGCGCTTCTCACATTGGGGCAGCATGATTTGAGGTGAGTACGGCTGGCGGCAGCAAGACCCTGGTGAAGGCGAGACACTGGTGATGGAGAGGCTGTGGCACTTCTGTGGGCAAACGGTGGTTTCTTGCATTTTAGCTGGCCACACTTAAAGGTCTTGCTCTTTTTGCTAGATGTTTGAAGGAGAAGCTGACTTATAACTGCTCGGAGGCAAACCTTGCTGGATGATTTAGATTTGATTGATGATATGAAAGCAGAGCCTGGTCTTGTTGAGAAATTGTGCCTTGGAACTGTTGAGCTGAAGCCTGGACTTGTATTGTGAGATATTAGTTGCCACCCCCAGTAATAAACCTCCTTCTCAGTAACACAACTGTGAGTTTGTGAGTCAGCAACAAATAAACGAACCTCTTGCTGTTGGCGTGGCTCTACAAGGCACCATCGGGCTGGGCTATGGGCTCTTTATCTGCTTTCTACTCAGGCAGTGAGGGGCCGTGCCATTCTTACTCCCTCTGGACCTTTCAGAGAGACTCTCACCACCATTTGCCCCCATGTCCTGTTTTCTGCTCCCCTTAGATAGATGTGGAAACAAAGAAAGTGTAACATTTGTATTATACAGCTATTATTCTAATTCTAACCAGATTCACTGCCAATGATTCACTTCTAACTCATAGTGACCCCATGGGACAATGCAGAACCGCTCCCCCAGACTTTCCAAGGTTGCAATTACTGAAGTGGACTGCCTCATTTTTCTTCCACAGAGCAACTGATGGATCTGAACTGTCGACCTTTCAATTAGCAGCATAGCATAACAGTAACTATATCACCAATGGCATGGAATAATAAAAATTATATAGGTTTCATAGCAAATTATTCTGTTAACTAATGCCAGATTAATTTTAAGGCTATTTTAATAAAAGTGAAAGAAACACCAAAACTATTGGAACCTCTGTAATTTATTGGGAGTCTGGTAACAGCTTAGCCTATACCCTGAGTAAATAAAGCCACCTTTTGTCTTTTAAGAGCTCCGGTGGTCAAGTCCATAGGGAGTGCCTTTTTGAAGGTTCAATTCACCAAGGCTCCTTCGAAGAAAGATGGACAGTTTCCTGCCTTGCAATTTAGAGCCTCCAAAAACTCACCAAAGGGTCACCTTTGTTGGTTGAAACTCGACAACAGAGAGGTTTTCTCTCTTAAAGATTCAATCCAACTTTCATTGATTTCCTCATCTTCTAAATACCTTAAGATCTGAATACTATATAATGAAATCTAACAATAATCATGTCAAATTTTTGGTTAATTATTTCTTTTTCTTGAGAGTAGATGCTTATGATTGTTATGTGTCATCAAGTTGACTACGACTCACAGTTACCCTATGAACAGTACCTCTGTACCTTGCCGTATCTTGAGCCAATCTCACTGTCTCTGACATACCTGTCCCTATTACCCTAGTTACTGTGTCAATTAACTTCAACCAGGGTCTTCCTTTCCTGTGCTGTCTCTCCACACTTCCAAGCATGATATCCTTCTCTAAGAACTGGTCCCTTTTGGTAACATGCTCAAAGTCTAAGAAATGGAACTTCAAAATCCTTGCCTCCAATGAACAGCCTGGTTTCACCCTCTCCAGGACAGACCTTTTTGTTTTCTTGGCGGTCCATGGTATGTTCAATACTCTTCTCCAGCACCACAACTCAAAGGCATTTATTCTTCTGTCATCGTTAGTCAAATAACTGAGAAGATCATAGCCTGGATCAGCTGCTAGATGCCTCATTCACAAACACTGAGAATTACAAATTTTTGGTGTTGTTTTTTTAAACTTTTGTTGTTTTATGCTTCTAAATTTGGAAGTAATTTATTATTCATCAACAGATTTTATACAGGGCCACATTTCATACTCCTCCTGTTGCATATTTTTCAATGTCAAGTATCTAACAGACATTAAAAATATGTATTAATACTGCTCTAGCAATATTAAATTAGATTTTCCTATTGCTGAGATCACACAGTTATTGGCAACACAAGTTCCCTCAAGAAGGGAACATCCGAGGATCCAATTAATCTTAGGACACAGTAACACTTACTCCTAAAAATTAGGGGAAATTTCCTCATGTACTAGTCAGATTCGATGTGATGGTACACACACACACACACACACACACAACAATAAAATGAAAAATAAATTAAAAAAAAATGTTTATTTGGGAAGAAGATTAATTTTAACATATCAGAACAATAAAAATATTTATAAATGGATGAAAAGTTTTACCTGTCTTATTGTATCACCTTCCTGATTGCTAACTGTAATCATTTTATCTTCACCACCTAAGGCAAGCAGATTTTCTGCATTCCAACACCCACATGTGATTTTCTTAGTATGCTTTCCTGAAAAAGAGATGATTTTTTAATAGATATGTGGAGCACACAAACACACAAACATTTGTGATGTCAACATGAAAATTTAGGTAATATATTTTGAAATTAAATGGATAAGAAATTTAAGATCTCAGCAAAGTCCTAGTCCAAGCCACTTTACTTTAAAAAGTTCATTACTTTGTTGTAAACCAAGATAAAAGTATATAAGGGTAATAGTTTTTTAACACTTTATGTGGGTGTGAGCACAGACTCTAATACACATAAAAAAGATAGTCTATTTCTGGATAAGTTTTGTTTGTTTACCATGCAACTAAGTTTTATTTTATCTTACTTGGATCAACAATCATACCCATGTAGCACCAGACACAAAACCAAGTGGCACGTTGCATTTGAAAATCTGCCATCAAGGACCGCTTTACAGTGCTAAAGAACAACAATGTCAGTTTAAAGACTAAGGTACACCTGACCTAAACTATGGTATTTTACACTGCTTCTTCAAATGCCATGTGAAAGGAGGACAATAGATAAGAAAGATGAAAGAAGAAGTGAGGCCTCTGAATTGTGGTGTTAGTGAAGAGTATTAAAAATATCCGAGGCTGACAAAAGAACAAACAAATCTATCTTGGAGGAAGTGCAATTAGGGTGCTCCTTAGAGGCAAAGGCAATGTAAGTTTGTCTTACATATGTCACATGTTATCAAAAGGTGCCATTCCTTGAAAAAAGACATCATGCTTGGGAAAGTAAAGGGTCAGTGAAAGAGAGGATGACCTTCAATGAGATGGACTGACAGAGAAACTGCAACCATGGACCTGAGCATGGCGGAGGCTGGGAGGATAGTGCAGGACACAGCAAGGTTCTGATCTATTGTTCAGGTTGCCATGAGTAATAAAAATGATGCCTTATGAGAAGAAAAGACCAAAGCTTAACATTATGATAGACTCTTGGCAAAGCAGATTTAACATTCACATTCTGACTGTTCACATATAATTAAAGGGAATATAATAATTTATAGTAGCCAGGAAATTAAAAGATGTATTGCCATGGGAAAGTCTGCTGTTAGGGACCTCTCTAAAGTACTGAAGAACAATGGTGTCTCTTTGGAGACTAAGGTGTGTCTGATACAGGCCATGGTCTTTGCTATGATTTGTTATGCATCAGAGAGGTGGACAATGACTAAGGAGGATAGAAAGAGAATTGATTCCTGTGAGCTGTGGTGCTGGAGAAGAGTATTGAGAGTACCATGGACTGCTAGGAAAACAAACAGATTCATCCTGGAAAGGGTCAAACAGGGCGGCTCCTTACAGGCAAGGATTCTGAGACTCCGTGTAATATACTTTGGACATGTTGTAAAGTCTTGGAGAGGGACATCATGCTTGGGGGGAGGTGGAAGGACAGCGCAGGAGGGGAAGGCCCTCTATGAGGTGGATTGATTCCGTGACTGGGGTAATCGGGATGGGAGAGTCAGAGACAGTGCGACTGGCACAGAACAGAGCAGAGTTTAGAACTATATTGTACTTAGGGTCGCTATGAGTTGCATGCGACTCGACAGCACATAACAACAACAACAACATAATGATTTATGATATTATGAGAAATAAATATGAACACACCCTTACGAGATTTGAGTGAAGAAGTCAACACTTAGCTCCCCCATGACACTAGTTCTGGGAGCTTTTCATTAAGCAGTCTCAGCCACCACAAAAGCTGCCTATTTGAGGAATAATCAAACTTTTGACTTGTAAAGTTCTTAGGACAGATAAAATCTTCAAGAGTGCCAAGGTTAATGCTATCAATGAGATGCAGAATGCTTCTTGTTGTTGTTATGTGCCACTGAGTTGACTGAGACTCATAGCAACCCTATGTACAAGAGCCCTAAATGCCGCTCTATCCTGTGCCAACCTCGCTGTCTCAGACACACTCATTCCCACCACTCCAATCACAGAACTGATCCATCTCATTGAGGATCTTCCTTTCCTGCACTGTCTGTCCACTCTGCCAAACATGATGTCCCTCTCCAAGGACCAGTCCCTCCTTGCAACATGCCCAAAGTATGTCAGATGAAGTTTCAGAATCTTTGACCCCAAGGAACACTCCAGCTTCACCCTCTCCAGGACAAACATGTTTGTGCTCCTAGCAGTCCATGGTATAGTCAACACTCTGCTCTAGAACTACAGCTCAAAGGCATCAATTCTCTTTCTATCATCCCTAGTCATTGTCCAACTCTCCGATGCATAGCACGTAATTGTGAAGACTAAAGCCTGGATCAGGCACACCTTAGTCTCCAGCCTGACATCATTGCTCTTCAGTACTCTTGAGAGGTCCCTCACAACTGACTTTCCCAATGCAATTCATCTCTTGATTTCCTGGCTGCTGTTACCAAGAGTGTTGACTGTGGAGCCAAATAAACTAAAACTGTCAACTATCTCAATCTCTTCATCATTCATATTGATGCTGCCAATTGGCCCAGTGGTGAAAATCTTTGTTTTTTTTGATGTTGAGCTTCAATCTGTATTGATGGCTGCAGTCCTTGACCTTCTGCAGCAAGCACTTCAGGTCCTCCTCAGTTTCAGCAAGCAGGGTTGTGTCATCTGCATAACGCAGGTTGTTGATGACTCTTCCACCAATCCTGATGCCACATTCCTCCTCGTACAGCCCAGAATCTCGGATGATCTGTTCTGCACACAGACTGAAACGGTATGGAGACAGAATACAACCCTGATGGATCCCCTTCTTGATTTTGAACCATATAGTGTCTCCTTCCTCTGTTCTGATGACTGCCTCTAGGTCCAAAGTACAGGTTTCGCATAAGCACAATCAAATGTTCTGGGATTCCCATTCTTCTCAGAGTCAGCCATAGCTTGTTATGATCCACATAGTCAAAAGCCTTTGCATAGTCAATGAAGCACAGATAGACATTCTTCTGGTATTCTCTGCTTTCTACCAAGATAAATCTAACATTAGCTATAGTATCCCTAGTACCATGACCTCTTCTAAATCCAGCCTGCACATGTGGCAGTTCTCTGATGACATGTTGCTCCAATCATTTTTTTAATAATTTTCAGCAGAATCTTGCTTGCATGTGATATTAATGATATTGTTTGATAACATCCACACTCTGTTGGGTCACCTTTCTTTAGAATGGGAACAAACACCAATCTTTTCCAGCTAGTTGGCCAGCTGGCTGTCCTCCAGATTTCTTGGCACAACTTAGTGAGCACATCCAGGGCAGCGTCTGTTTGTTGAAATATGTCAATTGGTATGCTTAGGTGTACAAAATCTGGAACTAGATTACTAAAATTTGAATCTTAGCACTACCACTTAATAATTTAGGGAGAGTTACATATATTTCTTTTTTTGAGCTGCCTTATCCATAAAATGTGGTTATTACTAGGATGTGTCTCACAGAATTGAGAATCAAGTGAGCTCCAGTACTCAGACAATGTATAGGAAGTACTGTTGTTATGAGGTACCCTTGAGTTGAGTATGACACATAACAACCCTATGAACAACAGATCTGAACTTTGTCCTCTCCTGTGCCATCCTCACACTTCCTGAAACGCTAGAGCCCACTGTGGCAGTCACCCTGTCAATCCACCTGATTGGGGGTCTTCCTTTCATTTGCCACCCTGCCACCTTTCTAAGCATCATGTCACTCTCCAAGGAATAACCTCTCCTAGCAACATGCCAAAATACATGAGATAAAGCTTCAGTTCATCTTTGCCTCCAAGGAATACTCTGGCTACACCTTCTCTAAGACATAAGAGACTCTGAATATTACACTAGAGAGCCGAGAAGGCAAAGCAAAGGGAAGAAATCTAGAAGTTAAGGGAGCTGAATAGAAGATTTCAAAAGGCTGCTTGGGAAGACAAGGCAAAGTATTATAATGAAATATGCAAGGAGCTAGAGTCAGAAAATGAAAAGACTGAACTTGCTCAGCATTTCTTAAGCTGAAAGAATTAAAGAATAAATTCAAGCCACAAATTGCAATGCTTAAGGATGCTATGGGCAGAATATTGAATGATTCAGGAAGCATTATAAGAAGATGGAAGGAGTATGCAGAGTCATTGTACCAAAAAGAATTGGCTGACACAGAAGAATTTCAAGAAACAACATATGAGCATGAGGCAATGGTGATGAAAGAAGAAGTTCAGGCTGCTCTAAAGAACTTGGCAAAAATAAAGTCCCAGAAATTTATGGAATACCCAGTTGACGTAGTTCAGCGAACAGATGCTACCCTGCATGTGCTCACCAAGTTGTTCAAAGAAATCTGGAGGACAACTACGTGGCCATTTGACTGGAAGAGTTCCTATTTATTCCCATTCCAAAAAAAGGTGACCCGACAAGACTGTAGAAATTATCGAACATATCACTAATAGCACACACTAGCAAAATCCTGATGAAGATTATCCATAAACAACTGGAACAGTACATTGACAGAGAACTAGCGGAAATACAAGCTGGGTTTAGAGGAAGTTGTGGCACTGGGGACATTATCGCCAATGTCAGATGGATCTTGGCAGAAAGCAGAGAGTACCAGAAGAATGTCTATCTGTGTTTCATTGACTATGCAAAGGCATTTGACTGTGTGGATCACAACAAATCATGACTAACCTTGAGGAAAATGGGGATATCAGAACACTTGATTGTGCTTATATGAAACCTATACCTGGACCAAGAAGCAGTCCTCAGAACTGAGCAAGGAAACACTGCAGAGTTCAAAATCAGGAAAGGAATGTGTCAGGGATGCATCCTGTCCCCATACCTTTTCACTCTGTATGCAGAATGGATCATTCAGGAAGCAGGGCTTTATGAGGAGGAGTTTGGCATCAAGATTGGAGGAAGATTCATTAACAACCTATGATATGCAGATGACACATCCTTGCTTGCTGAAACTGAAGAAGACCTGAAGCACTTGCTGCAGAAGGTCAAGGACTGTAGTCTTCAATATGGATTGAAGCTCAACATCAAGAAGACAAAGATTCTCACCACTGAGCCAATTGGCAGCACCA